CAGTATCAGTTCACATACAATGTCTCTTATGCTACATGTGATTATTTTTAGGTCATTTAAACATTTTAAGCAGTGTCCATCCAAAGTCATAACAGCAATTTGCCTCTGCAATGACATCTGCAGATCATTGCTATTCCCAGCTGTACTTCTTTCCCAGTAAATTAAATAGTTTGTAAAAACAAACACGTGTGAATATATATTACCCCCCCACATATATGAATACGTACATACTTTCCACCTAGCAGCCAAATCACTACACCTACTAGCCAGAGTGGTAACAGCTGCTCACCAAGCCACCTGTAAATTCAGGAATACAGTACATGCCTCCTTACTGTGTGCACTATTAACTGTGACATGACATCTAAGACAGCCTACTTTCTGTAAGTAGGTTCTTGGAGGTCTTAGATATGCCTGTCCATCTCATTTGTCTCAACTTCATCCTCCTTTGAGGCTACTGCCTCTTCTACCCTTTAACACAGTTTCCTATATTTTCTCACAGTCTTCAGAATCACTTGATTCTCCTTCCCCTCCATTCTACTTTAGCCATACCTTGCGCAATGTAATTCCTTCTCTTCCTTAAGTTTTTTGCTTTTCCTCCCCAAAAGTCTCTTAACTCTTAATTATTCCATTGAGTAGCTTTCAAATCCAAGGATGAGGCAGCAGAACAGGACTCCAAAGCAGCCAGACATGAACGCAACTGCCCATGGCTCACCAGTCACACCCTATAAGAAGGGTCCAGCCAAGAACCTAAGCGAAAACCACTCCAGGTGTCATTCTTCATATCATTCTCTAACATACCGAAATGTGATAGTTTCACATACAGCTAGTGGGAAACTGGGATGCTTCTTCCTCTCCTACCACCCAGCAGCTAAACACTCTGGCTGCTTCGGGACCAGTAATTTTTCTGTCCCTCACTCTAAATAGGTCTGCTTTCCACAAGAGTTCCACTTCATATTCTTCAAGCTGCATCTGCCTATTCCAGCAAAAGTAAAGTTGACTTATGGGAGCCCGAGCTAATTAAGTCAGAGACAGTTCTGATTTAGGAGACATTTAAAACACATTTATAGAGCAGAAATTTAGTTTCTTTTACCCTTTATTATGCTGTTCTGCACAACACAACTGTTTGGTGACATTTCAGCTTTTATGGCATTAAACAAGTGTTAAAAGAAATGCAGCAGATAACGCTACCCCTACTGCACTTTAAATCAACACAGCATTAAGGGTCAAACTCTTTAGGTCTCTTGGTTCAAAAAACGTTCAGTGTGTGAACCTATAACCACCCATAGACAGCCCCCCAAAAGGGAGAGATACTTTTCACTCTGGTGAAACTCTGAGGAATAAAAGGTAAAAATACCACAGAACAATAGAGTAACTTAGATAGGAAAGGACATTCAGAGGTCATCTATTCTAACCGACAGCTGAAATCAAAGCTAATTAGATCAGATCGCTTAGGGCTCCGGCCAGCTGAGTCTTGAACACCTCCAGGGACACAGATTCCACTGCCTCTTTAGGCAGCCTGCTCAACATTTAACCACCCTCTGTGCTAAGAAGATTCAAAGGAGGTACAAAAGGGAGGTGATTCTGCCCCTCTGCTCTGGTGAGAGCCCACTGGGAGTCCTGCATCCAGCTCTGGAGCCCTCAGCACAGGAAAGACATGGACCTGTTGCAGCGGGTCCAGAGGAGGGCCACAAAAATCATTAGAGGGCTGGAGCACCTCTCCTATGAGGAAAGGCTGAGAGACTTGGGGCTGTTCAGCCTGGAGAAGAGAAGGCTCCGGGGAGACCTTACTGCAGCCTTCCAGTACCTGAGGGGGGCCTACAAGAAAGCTGGAGAGGGACTTCTTACAGGGTCATGTAGCGATAGGAGAAATAGTAATGGCTTTAAACTGAAAGAGAGTAGATTTAGATTAGATACAAGGAAGAAATCCTCTGCTATGAGGGTGGTGAGGCACTGGAACCGGTTGCCCAGAGAGGTAGTGGACACCTCATCCCTGGAAGTGTTCAAGGCCAGGCTGGATGGGGCTTTGAGCAACCCGGTCTAGCGGAAGGTGCCCCTGCCCAGAACTAGATGATCTATAAGGTCCCTTCCAACTGAACCATTCTATGATTCTCCAACCAACTCACCAGTGTCTCTTGTGCTCCAAACACAACATTGCAGTATATCCCAAAAGATAACAACAAGACAGCACAACTTGCCTCTACAAAAAAGGGTGAACATACAAGACGGGGCAGAGTCATCCTCATCAGGATCTCTACAGGTACTACAAGTTGAGGAAATAAAAAGCATCACAAAAGACCCTACTATTATCTATTCTCAATTTTTACATCTACATGCACACAGCCTGGGGACGCACCAAGCCTCAAGTGTGGTGCTGAAGCACAGGTCCAGGCGGGCTTGCTGGCATAACACAGAGTTAACGCCCGTGTGTGCAACGGGCACAAACTGAAGCATAGGAAGTTCCACCTGAACATGAGGAAGAACGTCTTCCCTCTGAGGGTGATGGAGCACTGGAACAGGCTGCCCAGGGAGGTTGTGGAGTCTCCTTCTCTGGAGATATTCAAGACCCGCCTGGACAAGGTCCTGTGCAGCCTGCTGTAGGTGACCCTGCTTCAGCAGCGGGGTTGGACTAGATGACCCACAGAGGTCCCTTCCAACCCCTACCATTCTGTGATTCTGTAACACTGTGGAGCACCTTTGCAGCCAGGGGCAGTTCAGCATTTCTAAGTTAAGGAAAGAAGCCTGATTCTTGAGCTGGTAGGCCTGAAGAGCTAAGCACTGGTACACATCTACAGCCACACACAGACCAGTATGAGGCCAGCAAGAATTTATGAGCTTTGGCTCAGCACAGGTCTGCCAGATCCCACCTGCCTCGCCAAGGAAACACCCAAGTCTCTCTACATAGTGCTTGGGGTTCCGGAAGGGTCTCTTCACCCCGGTGCTCCCTCTCACCACCCCTCACAACGCACAGCTGGCTGTGCACAGCTGGAGTGCACCCACAGTGCCATCACTGGGATCGCACCTTTCCCTTGCAGCCATCCTGCATGCAGGCATGGACAGGGGCAGGGATGGGCTGGAACAGTCTCATTTCTCACTCACTGGGCTTCGACTGTTCAGGAGCAGCCTCTGCTTTTAAAAGGGATATATCCTAAGAAAGGGAAATGTTTCAGAATTTGAACAGGTAAACAGTATGTGCTTTGTGCTTTTTAAACCTGTTTTAGACATGCCAACAGAACATGTTTGCAGTGATCACTTCAAGGAACGCTTTCTCTTTGCCTCCCCACAAAAGTCCTGGCATTAAACGTGATGCAATTTTTAAAAAGATAGCTCATGACATATTCCAGGAGTCTACGCTTATTAATGCTTCATGGCGCATCTGCATCACTGTTTTACCTTGCTGACCTAATGATGATTCTGCACAGTAGAAAGCCATTGCAAAAATAAACTGTCTACATGAAAAAGAGCTCTTCAAAGCTAACTGAACCCACTCCCATAAATGGCCATATAAAAGCAACAAGATAGTAGAAACCAACTCACTAATTAGGTCTCAACAGCAAGTCATGTGTACCCAGTTCAAAGTGCCAGAGCGGAGACCCCCTCCCTGTCACTGAGGGAAGGTAATTACGCAAGTTGCAGTAAGGAAATGTAACCCACAAAATACGACCTTATAGATCTCATTAGTCCAAGTCATTATTTAAAAACTCATTTATTAGTTTCATTATTTGGAATTGACCTTCCGAGCCAAGTCTTGAAGAATCACCAGTCACTATGCACTCTGTTCTACGCTCCCCATCTTCTTTCCAAGAGCTCTTTATAAATATACAATCTTTAATGCAGCGAACAGCCTACGCTACAAGAACCAAGTGTAAGAGGGGAAGAAGACACACAGGAGTCCCCACGCTGCTCAGCTAGCACACTGCTCGAGTCTCAAACCTGCCAATCAACAGCTAGCGTCCATCTGCCCAAAATACAGAGTGGGGCAAGAAAAGCAAGCAAAAACTTCTAATAGATACTTGTTACGCTGAATTGTATATTACCACCTGACTAC